CCATGCAAACACATCTGCATTCTGAGACAAGAAATTAACCAATCCTTGTTTCTCCTCTTCTGCAAGTCTTGCTCACACTCTTGCGGTTCGGTCTAGTTTCTCATGGTCGATCTGTACGTTAACAAGAGGTTCTTCAGTCAAGACCAAAGGCTCCTCCTCCCCACGGTTGTTGGGTGAAAGACTCTGTAATTGCTATCTGGGGCTAGCTACACGGATGGGTGCTTTTCCTTTTCCAACAGACTTTAGAGTTACAGTGTAGTATTCCTTGGCCTCGACCTGATCTCCATGGATGTCGATTAATTTATTCCCATCTGGGCCCAAATATCTCATCACTTGATGTAGAGTTGATGGAAAACCCTGGACTCTGTGGATCCATCATCTTCCCATCAGAAGGTTGTAAGAGGGATGGATCTCAGCGACTACAAATGTCTCTGTCGAAACTCTTTCAGCAGCCTGCACAATCAGCTTTACCATGCCAATGGGCTCCACCCATTTCCCATCGAACCCCAGCAACGGATTTCCTGTGGGTTTGAGCCTTTTCGGCTTGATTTCTAGCCAATCAAATGTTACTCTGGGCATGATATTCGCACTGCTTCCTGGATCAATCAGAACTCTTCGTACCAGGCATTCTGCTACAGTCAAACTGACGACCAGTGGATCTTCATGAAGGGTCTGAACGCATAATAGGTTTGTTCTGTCAAACTTTATCTGTGCGGATGCGTTTTGCTGATGCAAAGCATGCACACTGCCAATTCTCCTCTTCATTTATGTTTAGCGTAATCGCGTTCTGAGTAGCTCCTCTGACTCTGCTGTCTGTTTAGGTCGGCCATGAATTGCGTTTATGATCCGAACGGGCTGAGTGCCATGGTTATTCTGCTTTTGAGTTCTTTTGACTTGATCAGCCGGTCGGTTCTGCTCCTGCGCTGGCCCTTAAACATATCCTACAAATTCCCCCCTTGCGAACAGCATCTCCACTTGCCTCCTTAGGTTCCTGCATTCATTAGTCTGATGACCAAAGTCACTATGGAAAGCATAATGTTTAGATTGATCCCTCTGTTCAAGAGGTTGTCTGATTGGTAAAGGAGGGCGAAACTTATCTTTGTTCTCCTGATACAGCCTCGCCAGAGTAACTCTGAGTGGAGTAACTAACTCTTCCTCTTTGGGCCTCTTCTCGGCCTTCCAGGAGGTCTGACGTTGTGGCTGAGCTTGTTTTTGCCGAATCTTGGCTTTGGACTTCTCATCTGTTGAGATTATTGATGTCTTCCTGGCATTAGCCTCTTCTTCTTGCTCCAGACGCACGAAGTTGTCAGCTCTCTTGTTCAGCTCGTCCATGGTCTTCGGCGTATTTACCACCAGGCTTGTGCGGAATGGTGTCCCTCGGTTCATCGCAAGTTTGAACGCTTGAACTGCCATGGACGGATGACATTTCATTACCATGCTCTTGACAAGGTTGAACCTGGTAAGGAAAGCTTAGAGTCATTCATCTTCATGCTGCTTCATTGTAAAGAGGCTTGAAACGTCCTTAGCTGGGCGTTTATTCCTATAGTACTGGCTTATGAATTTGTCGCACAAGTCTTGGAAACTATGAATTGAGCCTTGAGTCAGGTTCTTGAACCAATTGAAGGCTGGTCCAGCCAAACTTGTAGGGAAACACTTGCACATCAGATGATCATTGTTCGTGTTCAGAGCCATTTTCAACTGAATATGGTAGATGTGATCAATCGGGTCGGTTGTTCCATCAAACAAAATGAAGATCGGCATGGAAAACTTCCTCGAATTTGGTACATTCAAGATTTCATCAATGAATGAAGATACAACTATTTTGGCTAATGAACTGAGTGCTTCATTCTCCCTTGAGAATCATGATGGAACTCTGTGATCTGCAGATCTCCACTCTGAACTCCTGGAATATAGCGTTGCTATTGAAGGCTAATAGGGTGGATCTAGTGATCTGTACCCCGCAAACTCATTCTGCCACGGTGATGCAGCCCTATGATGGCTAAACTCTAAAGGCTCATCACGCCTCAGTCGTCCTTAATTTGACTCGAACATTGGTGCTTCTTCTCGTATGATCCGTTCGCGATGCGGATCCAAATAAATAAATCCCTCTCGATCTTCTACCTGACAGATATTTGGAGGTAAATCACCTAACAAAATCTCTTCACGATGAGGATCCACACGATTATTGCCTTCTGGATCACTTGGATGAGCAGCATTGAACGGCAAGACTCCCTCTCCTACCGGAGGTGGCTTTGGAATAGCAGGAGCATCGTGATGCTCCATTCCAGCTCGTAACTCTGCATTATCTCTTCTCAGGGCTTCGATCATACTCATCGAGCTTTGACTGCTGGCCATTCTCCAATGGATTTAAGCTCTCTCCTCCGATCATCACTCCAGATCGAAGCAAAGTCATTAACCACAGATTTCTGATCAGATCTGAGCTTTGCTAATGTGAATGCACTAGATCTGGACTCAAACTAGTTGCATTCTGACTGTTATCGGCCGAATTTGGATTGCTTCGGCAACGAGCTCGCCAAATTCAGTAATCTCAACGAGTCCCAGCTGCGCAGTTCACCGGAACAAACACAGATTTGAACTGCAAAGATCGGACGTTAATCCCTCAAAATTGACTGGAATTGGAATCCAGCAAAACAAGCAATGATCTCGCCGATCCTAATCCAGTTTTCAAAGATCAAACTCATTCTTCACGAATCACTCACGACCGAATGGCTTCTAACCGATCGAAAATCAATCTTTCTCCGTTTCCCACAGACGGCGCTATTGAAGATGCACGAAATTTTCCCCAATTTAGAGAGAGAAAATACAACAATTTTTCCAACCTCTTTTCCCTCTCATTTCCGTCTATTTATAGACGGTTACAATCACTCCTGAAGCTTACTAACTGACTTCCTTCTCATGGGCTGGCCCTATCTTCTTTCCTTTTGTTTGGGTCAAACTCCTTTCATCTCAATGTGGGCTTCTTTGCTGACATCCTGGACCTGGGCCCATTCAGCGAGGACTTGCTCCATTTCAGCTGCCCCCACCCGACCCGTTCTTAGCAATATGGATCATACCAAGCCCAGGTCACTTTTGGTGTCTTCAAATACATATTGTAGTATTGTACGTCCCTTAATTCACTCTTGTATTATAGGCCTTGTGGCAACTAAGTAATCATAGTGAAAACATGCTCATGATATATTGCGGATATGATGATCTTGTAACACGACCATGGTGATGTCTTGTTTTTATTGTTAGTAGTATAACTTTTTTTTAGTAGAGCGGAAGCTGTTATGTTAATTTAGTTGGAAACAATACTCTAATGACTTAAAAGGGGGTGAATAGGTCAATTTATATGGTTTTTGTGATTGATTAATTATCCACAATATTATCAATTGCAAATCCACAACCATAAAAATCAAGTAAAGTAAACTTTGAGAGATGACACAAGGATATTTGTGCGTGAAAATCCTTGTTAGAAGAAATTCGACCAATCAAGATGAAACTACGGAGACTTTCCTCACCTTGAGCAAAACAAGATACTACGTCAAAGTAAAGTGCAATGAACCAATTGTTTGAATGTCTCTTTGGTTTTGCGACTCCTCCGTCCAAACACTCTAAACTTCAAGCTTACTCCTCGATCATTGTAAAAGGGTTGCTAAGATAGATTGTGAACACTCCGTGAATGCTCTGAGCCTCTGACTTCGCGATTGAAACCTCTTTTCAATGATATAGAGATTAGAAATGAATTTTGTTGTTCCTAGTAATCTCTGTAATTTGTGGATTACTCTGAAGAATCTTTTGATTAAAAGTAGAACATCACCCTAAACCACTCTTGTGTTCAAGTGTGTGCCCTTAAAAATAAATAATAAGATTTCTTTGAAAATTTCTCTAAAAAAGCTTCAATATTTGTATAAAAAATGAAAACTTGTTCTTCCCGATTGAAGCCTTCGATCTCTACTAGGGTTAGAGATATGAGAGGTTTTTACATGTTAGAGGGTCCTCATAATATATATATATATATATATATATATATATATATATATATATATATATATGGTACAAGGACTTATTACCAAAAATTGAAATCTCGGACTTATCATGAAAGTTCAACCGGTTCAGTTGTAATCACAACTGGTTGAGTATTTCTAGAGAGCAGTCTAGAGACTGGAACTTGCATTGTTAAACCAATTTTGTTTGAAAACTCAACAGATTGGAATTTTTCTGAGTGCGGTTTTTTGCGCTGCATAGTTCAACTGATTGCGATTGAAACAGAATCGGTTGGACTTTACAACGTGCTATAATTTAGATCTTTTTAACTCCAATGCACTCAAGAACAATTCAAGGTGTATATGTGCCATGCTTCCTCACTCACATACCTTATCTGAGTGATGTTCTCATTGAGATCAACGGTAAGAAGCACTTGTACTTGAAGTAATTCAACTTGGAATGATACATTATACGTAGTAAAGTACAAAGTGATATACAGATAACATGAGTGAGACATATTTTCCATCTTTTCATTTTTCTCAATATCTTCTCTATAACAGAAGGAATTGAAATTTTAATTTTTTTTCCTATTATGTTTTCTTTTTATTCTCTTTTATTTTATCCAATCATTTTTTTATTTTTTATTTTTACGCCTGTGCTCAAGGACGTCTTTAATATTTTCTTTGCAGTACATCCGATTGACAAAATTTGCTACTTGTGTGTATTTTGCTCAAACACTTGGTAGGTCAATGTAATTTACCTATTACATAAATATGTGTAATCATTTGTTAACTAAAAGGCCGAAAATGGTGTATCCCTTTCTTAACTGAAAGTCCGAAAATATGAATGGATGAGGGGGCATGGACCCCACCACCGCACATCAAAATCCTCTTGCCTTTTCTTTTCCATGCTTTTACAGAATCCAAGGTTCAACTTACAAAGAAAAACAAATATTTTTTATTTTTTTGGCAAAGGCCAAAGGAAACAAACATGTGTAAAAAGGTGTCCACATGTCCATTAATCAACAAGTTCAAACTACCATTATTGAGAACGTGGCAAACATCCAACGGTGGATATTCCTATAGATCACAATCACGATTTAAAGCTCATATCAGCAAAACTTCCGAAAAAGAAAAACAAAAATGGCAATATCATCAAATCTCATCATCTCACCACCATAGCCAGCCACCCCTTTCTCTTCTCCTACATTCTCTTAACCACCTCTCTTTAGCATTCCATGGCTAACGTGAGCTTCTACATTGGCATCGTTGGTCAGTCTTTTTTTTTTTTTTTTTTAATACTTTCAATCTTTTCTTTCTATAGTTGTGTGTGTGTGTGTCTATATATATAGATATATATATATATATATATATATATATATATGAATGTATTGTTCCCAATTGTGAATTTTTAGAATTTATTTGTTGCAGGCAATGTGATCTCCTTACTAGTTTTTTTGTCTCCCATGTAAGTACCACTTTAGAATAATAAAATAAAATGATCATATTTCTTTCTTTTATAATTATAATGTTGAAGGTGTTTAGAACTTGTATGGATTGATTTATTTATATTAGATTTACTGTAAATTAATCATGATGTTGGCAGAAAATTAGTACTAAAATTTACCGTTACTTGTATTACAGACGATACTTATTATATAGTAGGATCTAAAAATATGGTAAATTAACAATTGGTAAAGTTTGTCATGGAAGATTGTTGATTGAATAATTTTCTAATTAAAATTTCGGATCTGTATAGAAAAATTTTGTAACGTTTAATGTAAAACTATATGTTACAGAGGGACATTTAAGACAGTGGTGAAGAAGAAATCAACATTGAATTACAAAGGACTTCCATATATATCTACTTTGTTGAGCACAACTTTGTGGTGTTTCTATGGAGTTCTCAACCCAGATGGGTTGCTTGTGTTAACAATCAACGGTGCTGGTGCGACCTTGCAGCTCATCTATGTCATTCTGTTTCTCATCTATGCTCCCAAGGAGATAAAGGTGACAATAATAGTCCATCTTCTTCTATTTTTAACCTACTAACACATCCATTTATTATATATGCTTTTCTTAATTTGTAGAGTTAATCCAAAGCTCATTAGTCTCAACTGATCAAAGGGTTTAACAATAGAATTCCCATTCTTTCAACACCCGCCGCCGAATCAGGTGAACCCCCACACGAATCAAGTAAAGTTCAGACTATGTCCGTAGTCATAGTCCCTAAGGAATTGATCGCACTCGAGAGAATTCAAACCTGAGACTCTAATTTGTTATTCTGATATAATAAATGTATAAATCTACTATGCAGTACATCTATTTATACTAGAAAAGAAATCATAAAAACAAAAAGTATCTTCAAAGCAGTCCAATTTGGCACTGTATCTAAATATTACCGCAAATAAATGGATATAAGTTCATACAACAATGAGTCTTTTTCCCATCTACTTGTGGGCATCTCCATGTATCCTATAAATTCATTATGCTCGTCTAATGCCATGGTCGCAGTCAAACCACATGCTATCACATCTTTTTAAACTAATCTATGGATGTTAACTTTACTCTTCCTTTTCCTAACCGACTTATTTAAAAATAGAGATGAGTTACTAACCTCTAAAATAAGACACCGACCAAATTTCAGCTCAATCCGAGTTCAATTTGACCACTAACAAGAATCTGGAAAAATTCATTGGCTTCCTATAACAATAATAAAAAAATAATAATAATAAAAAAAAAAAATTACACATGAAAAACGAAGTCTTAAGCATTGAAATTTAATTGAAAAGTGACATAGGGGTATTGATCCTTCGGCCATTTATTTATTTATTTATTGAAAATGAATTTTCACGAGTTAAGACGGATTTGTCAAATTGCACAGACAAAAGTTCGGTTATATCAAATTAATAGCATGCTTTACTTTAAGAAAACTAGAAAAATCATCCAAATTCGGACAATGCCAACCAGAAGATGTATGAGTAGAGGGGTGGGTCCCACCACGTGACATTACACATCATGTGGTTGGACCGCGCTACTTTAAAATGGTTAACTAATATTTGATCAATGATGGAAAAAATTTGTAGCTTTTAATAATGAGTCTAGTTTGCTCGTGTTTTCAGGTTAAACATATGAAGTTAGTAGCAATATTGAACGTGGGGTTTTTTGGGACGGTGATAGCAGTAGCTTATATTGCAATCGATGAAAGTTTCAGGCTTACCTTTGCGGGAATTTTATGTGCAGGATTTACTATAGGCATGTATGCATCTCCTCTATCAGTCATGGTGAGCCTTACCATTTCATGAATTAGTTTGATAATTAATTAAACCTACCATATACCTAACTTACACTAAAGAATGATCCTATTCTGCTCTTGGTTCTCAATGCTAGCAATTCACATTGAAGAAAAGACATTGACAGTAGAAACATTGGACTTGTCTACAAGCATAAAAAGGAAGAGCATGCAATAATCGGACTCATAGACATATAGAAATTGAGAAAATGAAATATGGGTTAAAACCAGCATGCACATGGTGGAAGCATTCTCATTCATCTATTTACCAGGAAATATATATATATATATATATATGTTTATTCACCTCAATAAATTTATATATTATTCAATCTTTCTCAATTCAACTAGGTTATATACTTTACCGTGCTTGTCTAATTAATGTCAATTTTTTAGGATAAATATCTGTTCATTTCTTGTCATCATCACTCTTTTACCTTTGTTCCATAACTTATAATAGAACTGCAACATAAATTCATTTTTATGTTGAAAAAAGATGGTTGTGACACTGCATTATGTTTCATGCTCGAAATGTGATAAATTAAGAAAACTATAATAGTAACAAGAAGAAAAACATAAGCATTTATGGTTAGCATATAGCAATTGATGAGGCTTCAACTATGCATGACAGAGAACTGTGATTAAGACGAAGAGTGTGGAGTACATGCCGTTTTTCCTCTCATTTTTCTTGTTCATCAATGCTGGTGTTTGGTCTACTTATGCTGTTCTCGTCAAAGATTATTACATCTTAGTAAGTTTCAACACCCCAATTTTCCTTTCCATATTCTTGTCAATTTATAGAAACCATAGATTTGATGCATCATTTGAGTGTTTCAGTTTGCAGAAACCATATATTTCATGCATTGTTTGGGTGTTTCTATATGCTATATATATATATATATATATATATATATATATTCTTAGTTGCTATATGCTATATTGTTTGTTATAAAAAGGGGTAATAGGTACAAGGGAGCTGATATTTGCGCTCCAAAATAGTCCTCGATCAAGCGCTCCAATCATTTAGTTAATTATTTGAATGACAAAAATAACCTTAAACAATTCCTTTCAACATAAATGACTTATCCCATCTCTCTCTTTCATCCCTCTCCTCTCTACCTATGTTTTGGTCGTGCAGGAAACCTCTTTAATGGTTTCACCCTGCAGCAAAGAGGTGGCATCTCCAACCTTTATCTTCTACCCTGTATCATTTTTAATACTTAACTCCTGACTGAGTTGTTGTGCGAATAACATATAAAGTATATAACATATTTATATGTGTGTGTGTGTGTGTGTATATATATATAAATTCTTAATACTCTCTTCCCCACTTCTTCTAGAGATCTTTGTTGAAAAAAATTGTATTATTGTCAAAAGTTGATCATTGCTGACCCGAACACTCAACTTGCCGTTCTTATCTATTAAGATTAATAGGTTTTGTGTCTCTTCCGACCAATACAAATATCTTATCAAAACTAATCTTCCTAAAACAATTAACCAAATTTATGTGATATGAAACAAGCAGAAAAATTACTTCTTTTATTTTAATAAATAAAAGTTCACTCCACCCAAGACCGAAAAAGTTATGCAAGAAAAAAATATGGGAGCATAGTTTCTTAAATTTGAGGGATCTCGAATAATTTAGATGTTTTTTGATTTATAGTTCAAGTTTAGAAAGTACTCATCGAAATAAATATGAATTGCTTATCAATATAGATATAGCTAGTTGCAATAACCATTTGATATTTTTTAGTTGTATTGTGAACAGAGATGTTATTGGTTGCTGTGGCGGGATAAGAAGAGTTAGAGAATGAAACAAAGATACAAAAAGGCGATAAAAAAAAATAATATTAAATAAAAAAGGAGATAGGAGAGATATATGGCTATTTTTGTCATTTCCTTTATCTAAGAATAAAAGTAGAGCGCCTAAGGATTATTTTGGAGCGCTAATATCACCTCCCTAGTTACAAATATCATAGAACTATGGAAGGACCTTATTAATTACGAGGGTTAAAGTGGAAAACGTGAGCACATAACCACCATAAATGTAATTGTTCCTGTGTAACCACAAACGTAATAGTTCCTGTGTAGAGAGAGTTTTTGAAGGAGAATGCCTATTGAATTACACAAACATAATTGAGTCTGTGTAAAGAGAGTTTCAGAAGGGGAATGGAGATACAACTAGAGGCACTGACGGACCAGAAATTTTGTTGAGAGGGGGCACCGTTGAAGTTTTTTCATAGTTTTAGTGGGGTATTTACAAAATTAATAGGTACATAATGCAAATAAAAAAATTTCAGTGTAGGTGGCTGCCTCCACTATGCACCACATAGGTTCGTTCCTAACCAGATGGATTGTTTTTGAGGAATTTTCAGGCAATTAAATCTCTCATATGTTTTAATCTGAATGGTATAATATTTTAGGTCAAAAAATAGATCGCTTCTGATTGTATTATAATTTAACTTAATGTATTAACTTATTTCAATTAGAACTTTGTTTGATGTGGGTATAACTCATATCGTGTAAGTTATACATGCATATAGTCATCTAATGAATGTTACAGCTCTGTTGTGTTGGTGCATGAGTTTTATCAAATACGGGTTGATACTCATCTGGATTATTGTAGCGTTATTTCTTTTAGTTTTGGGACTCGTATATTTGAAATAATGTAATTTTGGATATCTACTTTGTGAACTGTTAGAATGTATATTCTTTATAGTGTTGGGTCATTATGTAATTACCCATAGTAGTTAGGGTTATTGTGTAATTATGTAATTAGGGTCTCTAACCCTTTTCTTATATAAGCCTTATTTAGAGGGCTGAAGAGATGGAATACAGAACATACATTTTCTCTCAATCTCTCTCTCTTTCTCTCCCTATCTCTCATGAATCTGAATATGGTATCAGAGCGGTATAAATTCATGGGTGTGGGAAATAATAAGTGTGTTGCCCTTGTATGAGAGCGACTGGAATCGTGAGTATATCGTCGGTGTCTTTGTCGGAAGTACGTGTCGCCGGTAGGTTGACAACATCGTCCTTAGTCACCGTCAGATCTGAAGCCCGTCGTTGTCGTCGTCAGATCTGCAGCCTCCTTCGTCGCCGTCAGATCTGAAGCCCTTTGGCCGCTTGTGTTGTTGCCGCGTCGATCGTCAGCAAGCTCGCCGACATCCACCGTCGTTGTTGGCAGAGGTGAAGCTTCATCGATTCGCCTCTTTTTTCTTGGTCAGAAGTTACGGAGGTTGTGTGGTGTCGCCGCTATGTGCTCGCCGGAGTCTGTTAGTGGGTTGTGAAGGAGAACAGCCCTGTTTGGTGGCGCAGCTACACTATTCCAATCCTAGTTTACTAAAACCGGGATAGCAGAGACTTGTTTTGATCCAATCCAGTTACCCAGATCCGATCCAGCTACCCAAATCCGATCCGGTTTCAGATCCGACCCAAGTCTGACCCGGTTCCAGCTCCGACTCAGTTTCGACCCGGTTCAAGCTCCGACCCATATCCGGCCCGGATCCGACCCAGAACCAGATCCGACCTGGTTCCGATTCTGCATTTTCCCCAGGTTCTTTTTTTTAATCTTCTCCATGGCTTCCAGTTCCGATCTCCTATCTCTTGCATCTTTTAATCCTCCCATGACTTCAGTCAACCTTAATGGAAAAAATTACATTTTATGGGCCAAGTCAGTGGCCATTTTCCTGGAAGCCAAAGGCTTTGGCGATCATTTGGTTCAAGATAAACCCAAAAATAATGATGCTAATTTTAGTTCATGGGAACAAAGAGATGCTCAGATCATCTCCTTAATGTTGAATTGTATTTAACCTCATATTAGCTCCAACCTGTTATATCTGGACACTGCCAAGGAGATATGGACCCGACTCCAACAGTTATATTCTGGTGCTGGTAATATAACCAGAGTTTATGAGATGTGTAGACAATTTTTTGATCTCCAACAAGGGACTCATAGTTTAGAAGAATACCTCTCACGAGCAATGGGACTGTGTGAAGAAATGAATATGTATCAACCCATCACCTCTGATGTGAAAAGTATGCAGCAGCAACGTGAGGATTTTAATGTTGTTCAGGTTCTCACAAGATTGTCACAAGAGTATGAACCTGTTCGTGCACAGATTTTGGGTAGTTCTACACTTCCCTCTCTACCTGATATGTTATCCAGATTCCAGCGTGCCACTTTATCTAGTGGCTCTTCAGACAATACTTCCAATGGTGTCACTGCTCCTTCTAACAGTGAACGTTCTGCCTTAGTTGTGAACAAGGGTGGCTTTCAGTCTTCTCGTGGTGGTGGTGGTCGTCGTCGTTTCGGCCGTGGCCGTGGTTGAGGCAAAGGCAGAAACTCCAAAATTTGCACTCATTGCGGTCTTACCAATCACACGGTTAATTACTGTTGGGATCTTCACGGGAAACCGCTATCTTCTTCCTATGCACTTCAAGTGACTGCTAGTGATGGGGATTCTTCTCTCTACCACATCCACTGCTCCACATGTGGCTGTTGAGACTGTTATGGTCACGATTCCCCGTGATGAGTATGCTCAATTTCTGTCTCAACAACGGACGTCCACCTCATCTTCCATGGGGTCCTTGGCTCAATCAAGTAGTGCCCCTGTATGTCTTTTGTCCTCTAGTCAAAGTCCCTGGATTCTTGACTCTGGCGCATCCGATCACATGACTGGTAGTTCTCATCTCCTATCTGATTTTCAGTCTGTTCCTTCCTCTCAAAGTGTTACTCTTGCTAATGGATTATCAACTAAAGTCTTGGGTTTGGGAAGTGTTCCTCTTACCCCTTCTATGTCCCTTTCTTCTATGTTATATGTTCCTCAATTCCCTTTTAATTTGTTGTCCATTAACAAAATTACTAAATCTCTTAACTGTTCTGTAACATTTTATCCCACATGTTATCTTTTTCAGGATCTCAAGACGAAGAAGAGAATTGGTATGGGACATGAAGTAGGTGGCTTGTATTACTTTGATCTTGCACCATCTCCCACAGCTCTTCAATCATCTTTGTCTTCTTTCCAGTGGCACTGTCGTCTCGGCCATCCCTCGCTATCAGTTCTGCAGCGTCAAGTTCCCGGTTTTAGTCATGTTAAGTCTCTGTCTTGTGAAACATGTCAGCTTAGTAAGCATTGTCGTGTATCTTTTAAGCCAAGAGCTAATAATCGTGTGGCTAGTCCTTTACAATTAGTTCATTCAGATGTATGGGGACCAATAAAACATATTTCTATTAATGGATTTCGTTATTTTGTGACTTTTGTGGATGATCATTCTCGGATGACTTGGTTGTTTTTAATAAAAAATCGTTCTGAGTTGTTTTCTATTTTTCAAATATTTCGCAAAGAAATCAAAACTCAATTTGGGTGTTCCATTAAAGTTTTACGTTCTAACAATGCCAAAGAATATTTCTCGGACCCTTTTGAGACGTATTTTTATGCTAAAAGCATCATTCATCAATCCTCTTGTACTTATACTCCGCAACAAAACGGAGTAGCTGAGCGTAAAAATCACCATCTTCTGAAAGTCTGTCGTGCCCTTTTATTTTATATGCATGTTCCCAAACGTTTTTGGAGTGATGTTGTTCTTACGGCGTGTCATCTTATTAATAGGATGCCCTCATCAGTGCTACACGGTAAATCTCCTCACTCTGTTCTATTTCCCGACTCCGTATCGTTTAATCTGACTCCGCGGGTCTTTGGTTGTGTGTGTTTTGTCCATAACCTTGGACCTGGTCTTGATAAACTCGACCCTCGTGCAACTAAATGTGTTTTTCTTAGGTATTCACGCACTCAGAAGGGCTATCGGTGTTACAGTCCTCATTTCCAACGCTATTTCACTAGTGCTGATGTAACATTTTCTGAGTCTATCCCATATTTTTTTGATTCTACTAGTCCTCTCGATATTACTTCTGAGCCACCTCTGCCATCGGTTCCCTCTCAGTTTCCTATTTCCGCACCTCCTTGGTCTGCAGTTCCTTTGCAGGTTTATACTCGATGACCTCGACCGCCTACTTCGCTCCCTCCATCTCTTTCAGAGTCTTTGGATCCGACGCCTTTACCTGATGATTTGCCTATTGCCCTTCGTAAAGGTATTCGGTCGTGTGTTACTGCTCATCCCATTTCTAACTTTGTCTCCTATCGTCATATTTCATCCTCTTTATCTTGTTTTTTTATCCAAAGTATCTGCTACTTTTGTTCCAAAGACATTGCAGGATGCTCTCTCTGATTTGGGTTGGCGGCAAGCCATGGTAGATGAAATGAATGCCCTTCATCGTAATGGAACATGGGATCTTGTTCCCTTACCTCCGGGCTCCAAACCGGTTGGTTGTAAGTGGGTCTACACAGTTAAATACCTTCAAGATGGGTCTGGCAAAGGGGTACACTTAAACTTATGGTGTTGACTATGATGAGACTTTTTCTCCTGTTGCTCAGATTTCTTCTATTCGGATTCTTATTTCCATTGCTGCCAATTGTAACTGGCCGTTGTTCCAATTGGATGTCAAAAATGCCTTCTTACATGGTGACTTGGTTGAAGAAGTTTATATGGAGCAACCACCTGGGTTTATTGCTCAGGGGGAGTCTCGTCACACTGTTTGTCGCCTTAAAAAGGCCCTGTATGGATTGAAACAATCTCCGCGGGCTTGGTTTGGGAAATTCTCTGAAGCGGCATTAGAATTTGGTCTTAACAGATGCCAGACCTATCATTCGGTATTTCACCTGCGCACTAAAGCTGGCTTCATCTTTCTTGTGGTGTATGTAGATGATATTGTGATCACAGGTGATGATTTTGCAGACATTGCTAAGTTGAAATTGTTTCTGCAAAATCGGTTCCACACTAAAGACTTGGGTAAACTTAGATACTTCTTGGGTATTGAAGTTGCTAGATTCAAGGAAGGTATAAGTTTATCTCAACGAAAATATGTGTTGGATTTGATAGAAGAAACGGGTATGTTAGGTGGTCGTCCGGTTGATGCTCCTATGGATTCAAATACAAAACTTGTGTCTGATGAGGGTGATCTATTTAATGACCCAGGCAGATTTCGTCGCCTTGTTGGGAAATTAATTTACCTCACTATCACTCGACTTGATATTTCATATGCAGTTAGCGTTGTAAGTCAGTTTATTGGAGCTCCTAGAATGCCACATTGGATTGCTGTTCTTCGGATTATCCGATATCTCAAGCGAGCTCCAGGTTTTGGGTTACTATACCATTCAAATGGTCATCTCAGGGTGGAAGGTTTTACAGATGCTGACTGGGCTGGTTCTCCTTCAGATAGGAGATCTATTACAGGCTACTGTACATTTGTAGGAGGAAATCTTGTTACATGGAAGAGTAAATAGCAAACGGTGGTAGCTCGATCTAGTGCTAAAACTGAGTACAGGGCAATGACACATACCACTAGTGAGTTGACATGGATACAAAATCTTCTAAAAGAACTTGAGTTGACAGTTGAAACTCCTACTCCATTGTTCTGTGATAACCAAACAGCAGTTCACATAGCATCGAATCATGTATTTCATGAGAGAATCAAACATATTGAGGTTGATTATCATTTTACTCAGGAAAAAATATTAAGTGGTAGCATCTCTACTCCATTTGTGAAGTCTGAAAATCAACTAGCTGATATGTTTACCAAAGCACTGGGTCATAATCGGTTAAAGACTATCTATTCCAAGCTGGGATTATTTGATATATATTCTCCAGCTTGAGGGGGAGCGTTAGAATGTATATTCTTTATAGTGTTGGATCATTATATAATTACCCATAGTAGTTAGGGTTATTGTGTAATTATGTAATTAGGATCTCTAACCCTTTTCTTATATTAGCCTTATTTAGAGGGCTAAAGAGATGGAATACAGAACATACATTTTCTCTCAATCTCTCTCTATCTTTCCCTCCCTATCTCTCATAAATTTGAACATGAACTTTGAGCTGGTAAATGTAAGAGTTGATGTTATTTAGTTACCATGGATTCATTCACATGTTGTATAGAATGGTGGGTACGTAAATTCAAGGATGAGCAATAAATTTAATCACGTCATGGGTTGAATGTTGGACTAGTTGTCTTTACTTGAAATTGGGGCATGACAAAATAATATCAGAGCCTAGGTTTGGAGAAAGTAGATATTGAATTTTGAATTTGAGCATCATTGAGGAAAATAGAAGACATCCATGACATAAGTAATAATTTGCTAGGAAAATTAGGATCTAGTGATAATTCATTTAAAAATTTAGGTATATACAGGATTGTAATGTCGCGTATGAAGGTACGCATTTTATTCTTCTAAAAGCTCTCTCCCACTTGTGAAACTTCCCACCCGAGCTTGTTGTTATCATTTTGAGACATGTTCCCCATCATAGATGAGTAAGAGCCATTATAATTAATGCTAAAGATTTAGTTTCAGAAGTATTCAACATAAACATATTTACGAGTTCTATCGTCTTCTAAAATATTCTTCAATCTACTAATTTCTACGAACTCTTCAATAAGAATCTTTCACTCCTTACAATATTTCATACTTTCTTATTATATATGGTAGTTTATATTATTGAAATGAAAATATATAAGGCATACAAGAAGAAAAATAATAAAAAATAAAATAAGATATTATACCAAACACTTATAATATCGGTATTCTTATTTTTCCATTTTTACCTTTACAAACACTTATTTTTGCAGCATTACTCTAAAATTGAATAATGGTATTGAGTTTTGAAGTGTGATTTTGATTAAGAGTTGGAAAATTGATGTTGGGTGATGTTCTTCAGGTGCCAAATTCAATTGGGTTTGTATTGGGTACAGCGCAGCTGGTCATCTACGGGATGTACAAGAAGTCATCAGACGCGTTGAAAAAAAAGGCAATTGAAATGGAAAGCTTTGATGAAGAAGCCCAAAAGAATCCAAGCCTGAACAAAGGAAACAGCCTTCCAAAGCCCTCTTTGTCTCGGCAATACAGTGTCCAAAAAGTCATCAAGACACATTCTTTGGATCACCCTCAGTCCCAAAAAAAATTCAAAACAGTGGACCTCTTTTGATACAAATAGTAGTATTCAACATGGACGGACTAGTAATCAAAGTGAAAACATACTCATGAAATATTGAGGAACGTGATTTTTTTTGTAACTAACACGACCAAGGTGGTGTTTTTTTTTGGAAATGGAGAACCCTTCCAACCACCGGAAGATTTTTGAATTTTTGGCTGCAAGGTAAATTTCGAATTTCTGCAATTATTTACAAATTACACATATGTCTTGCTGTTGTTGTATGTTTTTTAAGGGTTGCTTGTGAAAGTGTTGTTTGTCTGCTCTTTTTGGTCTGGGTACTTTTTGCACCTAGGGTCGCAATGTTCCATATATAAATGAATAATTTTGAAAATTTTCTTGCAAATATTTTGAGTTAAAATAAAATAAAATTACTGGAGCAGATTATTAGATTTCCTATTTCTCTTTAATTATGGTGTCATGTTGCACAAATCTTATATTTCTATAAAAGAATATAAAACAATAAAAGAGATACTAAAACGTTGTTATTATGGGATATTTTTGGGTTCTTAAAACTATTTTTGTGAAGTTAGAAATATGCTGTAGAAATATGTAAATGTTGATATGACATTTATTCGTTTCAAATGTATATCTCAAACTCCACATTCCATATGACAGCTTTTGAGATTGAAGGATGTTACAATTTTGATTCCTATATATTGACTTTTTTTCTAAAATCTTCTTGTTTTTTTCCTCTACTAGATATAGAATGACTGATCTTGTGTGATTTGACTCATTTTGGTTAAGACTTGTCAAATTGATGTTGGGTTATCTTCAACTCCACAGTCCATACCTAGTCCATACCTTAGCTTTTGAGTTTGGAGGTTGTTACAATTTTGATTCCTATATATATAGACTTTTTCTCCCTCAGAGATAATTGGGCATAGATGATTACATCCATCAAATCAATGATTAAGATTTAGTTTTTAGAATTCTTTAACTTAAACAGAATGTTTATATTTATAAAATATCTGATCATCTAAAATCTTCTTAAAATCTAACCATTTCTTTGTACTCTTCAATAAACTAAAATCTTCCTTCTTTTACAATTTTCCATACTTCTTTATTATTTATATCCTTTTATATTATTGAAAATCAGATATTTTATAAATATAAACATTCTGTTTAAGTTAAAGAATTCTAATATATATTGAAATATATATGTATATATTTCAATAATATAAAAGGATATAAATTATATTTCAATAATATAAAAGGATATAAATAATAAAGAAGTATGGAAAATTGTAAAAGAAGGAAGATTTTAGTTTATTGAAGAGTACAAAGAAATGGTTAGATTTTAAGAAGATTTTAGAAGATCAGATATTTTATAAATATAAACATTCTGTTTAAGTTAAAGAATTCTAATATATATTGAAATATATATGTATATATTTCAATAATATAAAAGGATATAAATAATAAAGAAGTATGGAAATATTTCAATAATATAAAAGGATATAAATAATAAAGAAGTATGGAAAATTGTAAAAGAAGGAAGATTTTAGTTTATTGGAGAGTACAAAGAAATGGTTAGATTTTAAGAAGATTTTATATTTGATAAGTATTGAAATAAAAATATATAAGTAATAAGAGAAGAAAACTAGTATGTGTAGTGTACTATTTATGGCGGTGACTCTAAGCTCGTTTAGAATTATTCTTAGAATGATAAAAGCGCTTTTAATAGTATAACTTTTACAAAATTGCTGTCAGTAAAAATCATGTTATGTGTTTGGTAATGCATTTTATAAAGCACTTTTATACTTAAAAGTATGTATAAAATTGTTTGGTAACAATGTTATTTGAAGCACTTTTATTATTAATTTATTATATTAGACATACACTAACACGATGTTGTATAATATCAATGTGAGGGTATCATTCACATGGCACGGTTGTTGGTTAATATTGCATGATTACAAGTAATAAAACTAATTTAAATACACATTAGAATTGAAAAATAATTTAAAACTTTCACTCTACGCGTGCTATAGTGTCTGTGTGGCTTATTAAATATAATGCGAACAATAACACTGATGCATATCAGGGATAAAATAGTATTTATAAAGAAACGTGAGGGATTATATTGTAAAAAAAAAAATTTAATTACTTAACTCAACCTCAAAATGCAATTTCAAAAGTTACGATTTTTGTGTTCACGTATAACCTAAACTCACTTTCTTTATTCACAAAACACATCTAACCGCAATTTTGTAAAACCAACGCACTTTTTAGCTAAGAGAAGCAAATCCAAACAGGTACTAAGAATAATTTTTTTTCCTTTGCTAGAATAACGGATCATATTGACTTTTGACGCGTCATTCAACTCATTTTGGCCCAGACTTAAAATTGATGTTGGGTCATCTTCAGGTGCCTAATGCAATTTCGTTTGTATTTTGCTCGGCCCAATTGATCATCTACATGACATGACTTTTTTTGGGATTTAAGAAATTAAATCTTAAATCTTAACAGTAAGATATAAAAATATAAACTCTTTTATTAACCATCTAATAGAATCTGACTATTAATATTTTTACTTTTGAGGTGTGCATATATTTCTTACACACCAAGAAACAATTGAACATTTCTATATTATATATATACACACATCATGTATTTTAATTAATAATTATGGGTTAATTATGTTTAAACTCATTGGAAATTTTGAATATTATGTGAAGTCCTCAAATCATTAAGGAGAGAAAAGAAAAGAAATGATAGAGTGAGAGTGTATTTTGGTAGGTTAAGTGGAGAGAAAAGAGAGTATAGGGAGAGATAGGGAGGGATAACTATCCCTCCTTATTCCTTATTTAGTTTTTCTCCTAATTTGAGAAGATAGGAAAAGAAAGGATAGTAGAGTGAGCAATTAATTAGTAATATCAAAAATACCCTTCACAAATTAATATACAAAAAATGTGTGAATGGTTATAAAAAGGTATGATAGTAATTTGGTCATTATCCTTTATTTTCTTTTCTCTCCTCTATCTTATTCAAACAAAAATAACTATTATTTCTTTTCTTTTCTTCCCTATCTATCGAAACACGAATAGAAATTATTATTATCATTTCATTTCTTTTTTTTTTTTTGGTTCTCTCTCTTTAGACATATATTTCATAAAAATCGAATGTCTAAAAGACCTAGTATAAAAAACATTGTTAAGTCATAATTTTCGAACTGGTTATCTTAAGTCTACAATTTCAGTTAAATATTTGCGTTAGGTTTTAAGATAATAGAAGAGAAATGAGAGGACTCCAACCGGTTCCAAATGCTTTATCCTACTTTCGAAACCTTACCCACACACCAAAATTTTTTTAAAATGGTTTGAATACAAAAAAAAATAATAATAATAAATAATTTAACACTATTTTAAAACAAACAAGTTGAGCCATCATTTTTCACTCAAATTTCATATGTAATAATTTAACACTATTTTATTTGATCTCATTTAAAAAGTGATCCAATTTAAATGAATATATAAATAGATGTAATTCTTGAACTTAAAGTACAAGCAAGTTACATAGAAATGAGTGAGTCCGCCATTTTTCTTTCCTTGATTTTTCTCAATATCTCTTCTCTACGACGAAAGGAGTCAAAATTTTATGTTTTTTTCCCCTTCTTCTCCTTTTATTCTATTTTACTTTATCCCATCATTTCTCTTTATTTTTCAAAATATGATATGATTTCATCGCATGTCATTCTCTTTGTCCTATTATAAAATCTTTAAAAAGAAAAATAAAATGAAAAAGAAGAAAAAAAAATTGTGATCATATCTTAGTGGGCCATTATCATGATTTAGTGTTCAATAAAAAAATACAGTATATATTAAAATAGTTTATTTACAAATAATTAAAAAACAATTGCTTAAATTGGAAAGATTTATTGTCAAATGTCCCCCATTCAAAAATAATAATAAAAGTACTACTTATTTAAACAATTAGGGGAAACAAAAATTATGTACTCCACATGATTCACGTTCATAGGCCTGTCATTATCAAATTTCAAATCCATTAATGTGAAAATGTCGTTTTCTTTTTCATTTCAACAACCAAATGAACCAATAGACAATAAAGTGAAATGTGACTTCATTGACCTCATAGAGTGTGAACTAATTAATAGAAGTACCCAGAAGGAAGTTATCAGAAGACATGGGAATTAAAATCTTGAGAGAGAGAGAGAGAGAGAGAGAGAGAGAGAGAGGTTAAAACAACTTTAGCTGCCATATTATATTTCTAATAAATATTCCAATATGAAATTTCCTTTTAAAATGCAAAAAAATTAAAAATAAACATTCCAGTATGAAATTTCTTTTTAAAATGCACAAAAAATAATAAATAAATTAATAAAAATTGGTTGACTAAATAATGAAAAATTATTATGAAAAGTCAAATTATTTTCTTATATCTTAGAGTAATGAATTGAAGGCTTAGTTTTAAAATTGAAATAAATTTAGTTAAAATTTTAAACTTAATTTGTTCGGATTTAATTTAGTGTCAATTCAGGCTCCCAATCTCTACGTTACTTTATTGGCAAGAGATCAATAGCCAACTTGAAAAAATGGCACTTTTCAAAAAAAAAATGGTGAGGACAAGAGAGTCATATTAATATGTTGAACATAACCTATAATACTAATTACACAAACTTGTGTTAGTCGCGACAGGCATGATATATGGTCTTTCTTTTTGTCTTTTGGATCTCTTTCAGATTAAATATATATTCAATTATTGTAGGCCATGTATAGAATAAGCTACCCAATAAACAACTACAAAAATAAATCTGCAACTTTACTGTTGGATATAACCCCAAAACAAAATCATCTATTCTTATAGCCAAATTAAGTACGTTGCATTTCTTAAAGCCTCTCTCTCCATTCCAAATTAAGCCGCTCTTTCCAAGCTAGCTTTTTTTCTTTTTCTTTTTCTTTTTTTTTTTTCCAAACATGGAAAATTTGAGTTTCTATGTTGGAGTGATAGGTAATGGTCCTCCATTTTATTTTGTTTTGATTTTCTTTCTGTATAATGATTTATTAATGTAGTGTTCATTAAGGTTTTTGAATAAATATATATAAGAAGACTAATATATATGGTTCGTTTTTGCTTATATTTGTTTCAGGCAACATCATCTCAGTGCTTCTCTTTCTTTCTCCAGCGTAAGATCCATATATATGTGTGTTTGTGTGTGTATATATAATAGAGAGAGTAGTTTTTGCACGAAAATGATGTGGGTTGATATACGAATTGTGGTTATATATATATGCAGAGGGACATTCTGGAGGATTGTGAAGCATCGCTCAACTGAGGAGTTTGAGAGCCTTCCTTACATTTGCACTTTACTTAGTTCATCTTTGTGGACTTACTATGGGATTATAAAGCCAGGAAGCTATCTGGTGGCCACAGTTAATGGCTTCGGTGTCGTCGTGGAAATTGTATATATATCTTTGTTCCTTATATATGCACCTCCAAGAATGAGGGTAAGTAATATATTCGAAATCTACCAATTGTCAGATGAAAAATGATATGTAGTCCAACAATCAGACTAATTTGATTATTTTATGTGAGTGGGATTGGCAAACGACCTAATAATATTAATGGTAGGGTTGATGTCAACTCCTATCTACATAAAAACAGTCGGAATTGTCCAACTGTAAGATTTAATCTGACTGTGTTTTATGTGAGTTGGGCTAACAAACATCTTAATAATGTCAGCGGTAGGATTGATGTCAGCCTCCATTCACATAAAACAGTCGGAGTTGTCCGACTGTCGAATCTCGAATCGTCACTCTTGTTAGATGATTTGATATACCTGTTAGCATAAAATTGTTGTTATGATCTATATGAACATGAATATGATAATAAGCACTTCCTATGTTAATTTATTTCAGGCTAAAACTGCCATTCTTGCTGGAATTTTAGATGTAGGGTTTCTAGCAACAACAATTTTGGTCACCCATTTGGCAATGCATGAAGATCTTCGGATTAATGTTACAGGGTTCATGTGTGCAGGTCTAAACATAGTCATGTATGGTTCACCTCTTGCAGCTATGGTAAGATACTTCTTAGTAATTAGTACAAATTTTATGATCAGAGATGCATATGCATAGCATATATCATTATCATCAATTATTGGTGGAGACATGTAGGATTGAGTGGGACGCAATTCTAAATTATTGAAAGGAAAAAAAAAAAGAAAAAAAAAAAAAAGGGTATTAAAAAATTCTGTTCCATTATTTGTTGTTATTTTTCTCTGATAATCGCTCTTTGCATATCACTTTTTCATTACTTACGTTTAACCTCTTTCACTTTATTCATCTTTATGTCTCCTTATCTTATCAATCTTTCTCCAAGAGGGGAGAGACAATTATAGAAGTCTTCAGTAAAAAAAAATTACCTCATACACTATTTTCATCCGGTCTAAATATATATGTCATTTTAGGTTAAAAAAATAAAAATAAATAAAAACATTTTGTTAACATTTTTATATTGATTTTATTGTGAACTATTGTTTTTTTTTTTTTCAAAACCTCAAGACTGCAGATCCAGTCTAACAATATATTTGGAATATATTTCAAATATCAGAAATTCAAATAAGAAATCATAATGAATTGAATAAAAATATAGAAAAATGATTCTTGTACCGAATATTTGTGATAAATTGCTAGTCTTACTCTTTTAATTGGTTGATTATGCAACAAATAAGGAAGTGAAACCTTCCACTTAATTGTATTTGATATAAATAGTCAATTAAAAATTATTCGATTAGACAATTCATTACAAGTGCTACTCAAAAATATATGATGCAAGTGTAAATGACATCCCTTTTAAATATGATGCAAGTGTAAACGATTATCATCTATAATTTGGTAATTAAAATAGGACGTATCAATTTATTATTAATTTATATTAGTACTAAGTATGTTGTAGATCTCACTAATAAGAATCTAAATTTAAAAATTTTATTATAATTAATCAAATTTATAATCCTATTCTTCTTCTTTGGACATTAATTTATATATGAACTGTTGTCATGTGGACAACACTTGCACTTGAAGTAAGTATAGTTGATGATTGGGTGTAATAATATTCTGTGACGTGCAATGCGGTGTATATATATATATGATTAAAATTTTAAAATGCACAGAAAACGGTGGTGACAACTAAAAGCGTGGAGTACATGCCATTCCTACTCTCATTTTTCGTTTTCTTAAATGGAGGGATTTGGACTTTCTATGCCTTCCTTGTTCATGATTGGTTTCTTGGGGTAAGTTTTCTGTCTTTTTCATTCTCACAAAAAATAATTATAATAATAATAATAATAATAAATGATTATTATGAGTATGAAATAAGAAACATGTTTATTATATGATAATCGCTCTTTGCATATCACTTTTGGCCCTATACATAGCTTTGGTCTAGTGTGTGACTGTGTGTGTGTATATATATATATATATATATATATTTGTTTTTTTTTTGGGTCCACCTAAAAAGTTCTCTCACATCAATGAATTGATGGAAATTATATTATTTTATTGTGTACTAACAGTTTTCAAAATAAGGCATCTTTTTGGGAAAAAGGTAATATTAGGTAAAGCAATTCAACATATCATAATTTAATAGATAAATTAGGGTTAATCTTGTCAAGGGTTTGAATAAATTACACTGTGCAAATTGTTTGGTGTTTATTACCAACCGCTTTTGAGATTTGGCGTCTGTATTTAACAATTTTATATTTTCTGTATATAAAATGTAATATAATATATTATTATAATATAAAAGTTTTATTGATTTTTCACATTCAAAGTAACTTTTGGGCTAATTAATTCGACTTAGAAGAAATTAAAATAATAAATACTGAATGATCGATTTAGTGTTTGTAATTTGTGCAAACCTGGAGGTGAATAAAATTTACTCTATTTTAATATTATCTACTCAAACTACATGAAAATGTGGAGAATAAGAAATTCAAAACTCAATCGATATCTATCATTAATTATAAAATGCAGATACGCTATCTTGGAGATGTCATATGTATGTGTGTGTGTGTGTGTGTGTGTGTGTTGTGTGCTAAAATAATCTGTCTCCACGTCTCCACCTTGAAACTTATCCAATCATATTAAGAAATTCTTTGTGGTGAGAGAGTTTCCACCAAATATGCAGCAATGGCCATTGTTATATAATTAAGAAATTGCACCATATCATATGGTTGGCCCAACAATATCTAGTGGTTAAGATCATGTGGAGTCTTCATCTTAACTCCATATCTAGTGTCATGGAGACATGTAGAAGGTCAGAAGGTGCAAGTGTGCAACCAATATATATATATAGATTATTTTATCTCAAATTTTTATTTGAGGGATGTTTTAGTATAATATTAAAAAAAATAAAAGAATTATTAACACATGTTTTCTAACAGAGGTGAGAGTGCTCTTTTTGAAATATACATTAAAGGTATTTTTTACAATTGACCCATGGAAAAAGGAAAAAAGAAAACATAATATATTAAGGGAGACGAATGTTCGGATTTCGGACTCCACTTTTCTTTTTTTCTTTTTTCTTTTTTCTTTTTTTTTTTTTAAAAAAAAAGATTACAAGTAGGTCCTTAAACACATTAATGCAACTTCCTCATTTTATAATACCGCATCTACCTAAAAATCATATCAGGAAAAAAAAATTTTAAACTAAACTCAAAACATAAAATAGAAAATAATTTTTTTAAAAAAATTACCATTCCCATCACCATCCAAATTAATTCTTAAAAATTACATAGGATAAAAAATCTAAACGTAAACTTAGAACATAAAAAGGGAAAAAAAAAAAAAAAAAAAATACCATTCCTATCAATATTATCATCAAAGGAGTTTAATGATAATGAAGTTTTAATAATTATTCAATATTTTTTATGCTAATAAGGTCAATTAAATCGTTCAACTTTATTTTTTTATTTGTAAAATCTTTCATTATTACTTAATACTTACAAAGAACAATATCAAACCTTAATGGGTGAGAGAAGAGAAAATTAATGCAAAATAGAGAAAGAGTTTAGAAAGGCGGGAAGCAATAGGGTTTAACAAAAAAAAACCTCAAGATACCAAAAACATTAATGGGAAAATTATATTTTGGTGACCAAAATTAAACATAATTGCTATATAGTGACTTTAAAGTCAAGAAAAGGTGAATAGTGACCAATCTTGAAACTTAATTGATATTAAGTGACCATTTAAGGATAATTTGATCAAAAACACTTAAAAGTTTAATAAACATTTTAAAAATAAATTTTAGATGACAAAATTGCCATCCAATATAAATAATAAGTTATTAAATTCATCCTCCTCCTACTCTCTCTCTCTCTCTAATCCAACGTTTTCTTTTTTTCCTTTTTAGTTTATAATTTACCAATTTAAAAAATTAAGATTTCTTTACCAACATTATCTTTTTTTCACCCTTTATCTATTTTTCAAGGTTCTCAACCATCTAATATTTTCCTTTTTAGTTTACAATTTACCAATTTAAAATTTTAAAATTTCTTTATCAACATTATCTCTTTTCCATCCATTATTTATTTTTCAAGGCTTTCCAACATGAACGCTCATAACATTTACAGTGGCAAATCATACTTTTGAAACACCCTTTAACAGTTAGTAAAATTATGAAATTAATCAACAATAGTCATTATTTCTTGAACTATAACTAAATAGTATTAAAAATTCCTAAAAATTACAATCTTATATCTTAATGAAGATCTTTCAGACAAACCAACTCGTAAAGTATAATAACTATACCTTGAAAATAATAAATAAGAATAAAATTTACAATTTTCTCGTCATGTCTCTTAGAATCTTGAAGAGAATGATGTATAATATCCATCATCAGTTCTCTCCCATCTTGATCTTCTCTTCAGAGACTCACCCTAATAATTTGTTGTCTTTTTGTTAGTCAATTTAAGTAGGTATTTATTTAGGTTAATATAGAGGGTAAATTTGTCTACTTACATAATAATATATTATAAGAAGGCTATTTAGGTAATAAATCATCAAATGGTCACTTAATATCAATTAAATTTCAAAATTGGTCACTATCCACCTTTTCTTGACTTTAAGGTCACTATATAGCAATTATGTTTAATTTTGGTCACCAAAATATAATTTTCCTAACATTTAATTGAAAAGTGGGGGTAGACAAAAAGATCTTACCATAACTGAAAGGATATTTGTGGTATTTGAGAAAAATAATTATTAATTTTTAAAGTTAGGGTTAGAAGTGTCAATTCCTTTTAAAAAAACATTAATTGGAAAGTGGGAGAGATATTTGAAAAAAAATAATTATTAATTTTTAAAATTATAATTAGAAGTATCATTTCCTCTAAAATTAAAGTGCAATAGTATAGGAATATCGCATCCCATATATTAATACATCCTAATGAAGGGACACTAATAACAAATATCACAATCTTTAATATTCAATTTAGCCTCGAGCATTTTTAGAAGTCAATGACTAGTGGAATGGTAAAATGTTGAATTTTAAATCCGAATGATAGTAAATGTTATGTCTATATTATTATTTGTCATCTACTTTTTTTTTTTTTTTTTTTTCATTTGTTATGTATTTTTTAGTTTTATAAATCGAGAAATATATCGTGGTTGGAAAGATGGTTCAAAAAAAAAATTAATGACAAGATAAGCAAATATCATCTTCAAATCGAAATATATAGGTTATTAAAAAATAAATAAATAAATAAATAAAAAATAAAGCAAAACAACGCTAAGTTAATTAAATTTATCGATGCAGCCCCACTAACCCTAAATTATGAGTAAATATTGAATATAACAGGCATACCAAGTCATTGGTATATCCAACCAATAACAATGTATTATTCCAAAAAAAAGTTAGCCTATTTTCTAGTAAAATTACTATATAATATGTTATATTTGATTGAATATGTATATTGATGACGTGTCTGGCGCATTCAATATCTATTGCTAAATTAGAGAGGAGTGTGGAACTCATACCACACCTCTCAAATTTGACTTGTAAAATCATTTTTATGGGAAAATTCATCAAATTTATATAGACACATGCATAGTTTATACCCAAATTATACAAAACCACACATACACGTATAATATAGTGACTAGAGTGTTGACTGTTAAATGATGTCCTTTCATATATATATATATATATAGGTACCAAATGGGAGTGGATTTCTCCTGGGAATTGCTCAGATGATTCTATACGCAATTTACTGTAAATCCAAACAATCCCTATGCAAAACTATATCCGATGATGATGACTTGGAGTTTGGAGGAGACCAGAGAGAGAACCTCCTTTCATCTTCCGGCCCAACCCAAAACACCAACCAAGAGTAGAGGCCCAATCTATCATTAGAGAAGGCCCAAGAAAAGCTTACCAATGGCGTGGTTTTATATATATATACAAGGAGGAGGAGAAATGTTATTTGTGTTACAATTTTGTGGATAGAAAAATATTACAGTAAGTTTGATAATGATGATATTGTATTTTGAGCCCAAATTAAGGAATTTCTGTCTTTAGCTTGACTCGTAATGTGTGAAAATGTGTTTGGAATTTGGATTGCTATAATTTAACCACAGCTTTTGAACTCACTGAGCTCATTTGTAACTTTGGCAAAGTTGATTCATAAGTAATATAAGACACTTGATCATATAAATTTATTGTGTCAGGGTCACCATTGAATTAATTCAAGGTTAGTCGAAAATCATGATCGGATGGGTACCCTTTTATTTGGTACGTTTAAAGAGAGAGATTCAACAAGCCTATGGTATTTTAATTGAGTAAGTAAGAAGAGACATGAGAAATTGTGATTTACCTTGTCTTTATTTCGTGAATTTAATCCACGACACACACACACATATATATCAACCATCAATATAAAATAATAATTACTTTAATTTTTTATTTTATACTCATTTTTCACAGAAACTTGGGCAATATTTAAATTTCATGTTGCCATTGGTACATTCATGCATATATGCCTAATAGTGTTGTAGTTTGACTCTTCCATGTGCTTAACGTTGGAAGTATATCAATTTTATACGGATTATTTTAAATAAATTGAGGAAGTTAGACTTCCAAAAAAAAAAATTTAATCTGTAAATTACTTTAACATCCTTGTCATTTCCTCCATTTTGAATGTTGAGATCGATTCCGATCGTAGGTCCCGCCGATCTCCTGTGTCACATATAGAGCCCACTGCTCTCTGCCATCCGCCGTCGCCATTCCAAAAGCTGCCGTTGCCGTCGGTCTATCAGGCCGAGCCCGTGCCTTGCCGGTTCATTCTACCACTGTTCATAGACGGACCGTCCACAGCCGAGCTCTCCAAGCTCACTGCCGCTTCCGCCAAAGCCGAACCAAATCTCGACCCCACTCTTCGGCGAAGCCTCTCTCTTTAAAAACACATATATATATATACATATATATATATGAAATAATAATAATAATAATAATAATAATAATAATATCACCCTGAACGGTGATTCCGGAGCATCTGAATCCAATACCATGGTGGCTCAGAACAGATCTAATCAGTGTCAACAAGATCGAAGACACCCAACAATGATAGACCAACCAATGGTATTGACAAATCTTTCTACAAATGCACTCATTGCAGTAGACCGGTCATACTAAAAGCCGTTGTTTTGAGTTGGTGGGATCCTAGTCGTGCAAAGAAAAATCAACCAAAGTCTTCCACTGCATCAGTTGTCCAAACACAGACGTAAGATGAAGTTGCTAGCAAAGCCTCGGAATTGGTAATAGCTGCAAACAATGGAAAAGTTTTAAATATTTCTACACCTGTTTTGAATAATGCATGGATAATTGATTCTGGTGCAACAGATCACATGACATATGATTCTAGACAGGTTTCATCACTCAATCCCTTCACACAAAAATTTGTCTTTACTGCAAATGAAACTTCGGCCTCAATTAGTGGGGGAAGGATCTTTGTTTCTAAATGATACATTCAATTTAGATTTTGCTTTAATTGTTCCATCTTTAAATTCTAACATTTTGTCAGTTTCACAAATAACCACTACCTTATCTTGTATTGTAATTTTTTGCCCTAATTTGTGTGTGTTTAAAGACATCAAAACCAGGAAAACGATTGGTCGTGGTTGTCACGCCCCCAGACCGTAATTTAGGTTATGAACATAAAACAGAACAAAGAAATGCTCGTATTCAGAAATGTCTGACCGAACCCTGGAACAATGTCCAAAAATTTTAAATAAAACTTTAATGCACATGGCTGAGTATAGAAAAATCCATTGGTTCTGTTAGGTTTTTTGAATAAAACATAAAAGTTTTTAAAACTTCTTATTTGAAGAGATGTGACCCCTTATAAGTAGTTGTGTCTATTTGCTAAGGGTGTGAAAATAGTTTATAAATATATGGTTATTCTAACAAATTAAAAGTTGTTCTTACTTCTCTTCTTCAGTTTCTTTTCTAAAAACTTATTCCTTAAAATAGTTTATAAATATATGGTTATTCTAATAAATTAAAAGTTGTTCTTACTTCTCTTCTTCAGTTTCTTTTCTAAAAACTTATTCCTTTATTATTCAACCAAATACTATATTGTATATATTCAATTATATATCTGAGTTTATGGGCAACATGACACTACAAGACTTGGTGATCGTCACTCTATGAACGTGCGCATGGAGGACATTAGAGTTGTATCTTGGAGCCTTTCATAGTCGTCACAACCTGCACGTAGGAAGGCTGTAAATGCTTTAAGACAGCGCATATTGCGTGCCTCTCTATTACACAGGTCAGAAGTTTCTTTACTTTTCTCTTATTAATCTTATATATTTTACTTGCATATTGCTTTATATATTGTTTTATTTATAAAATATTTATTGTAGTATGATTACACTGTGATATGAATATATAAGTGTTTTAGTCAAAGTGAATTTTAATAAGATTATATAAATGGACTTTAAAATGAGATTGTATAAAAATATCTAAAATCCCTAACATTCTAAAGCCTTTAAAATTTCTCTAACGTGTTACATATTCTGTCCAGTCGTACACCTATGTATATCTTTGATTCTGATATGGCTATTGTTTTCATTAACTTTTATATTTATATATAGTATTAATCATTCTTACTATGTTTCATGCACAATATTCATGTTCTTGTGTTAAAGTAGTTTTAAATGGTTACTGTGAAGTTATGAAAAAATTAAAATCAGTATAATACAATAATTATTTAATTTCTATTTGTTATTTTGACATGAAATAAAAGTAATGCTTTGGTTTAGTTTCTTGGTTGACGTTATTGGACAAAAAAAAATGTTTGAGAGTGAAACGTGCAATTTTTACTTTTAATTCTATTAAAAAAAAAAAAGGAAAAAAAAAAAAAAAAGTGTTCTATTAAAAATAGGAATAGTAACTGATCCTGTGTAGTTTATTTGATTCTATGTAGTTGTATGAGAAAATAACACAGTTACAGCGAATAAAATAGTCACGTCCCAACGGACGGAGTACATACCTGTTCTAAAAAATGTATTGATTTATATATATATATATATATATATATATATATATATATATATGGAATGGTTTTGGATTCTAATATCAGAGGACTTTGTTTGGAATGAGTTTCCTCCATTTAAAAGAATACCATATAAAAAAAGTCACATTGATATATATATATATATAATGAAAAATATAGTTTCGTATGTAAGACACATCGGTTCAGAAACAATTATATTGGGATACAAGTTGATTGTTATATTTTTCATTCTATATATACTTGTGTGTTTGAAGTAACACATAAATAATTAGATATATAATACTTATTGATAGGAAAACTCAGATTAGTTAGCATTATAAAATAATAATTTAACTTGTAATGTTTCTCTGCATTAGTATATACTTTAATGTGAAGAACTTGTTTATATCATGTGTTAGAATACATGTTTTATCACACATCTATTAGAACTTTGCAGTTATATTTAGACACTTATACGTAAGTGCTTCATAAATGTACTATGTATTACCAATTCAATATTTGTATGTGTTTTCTTGAAGATGAAATTGAAATTAAAATATGTTGCATATTCTGATTTGTTAAGGATCTTAGAGAGTTGGAAATAAGAAGAGTTCTAAGACTCAATTAGTCCTTACTTACAAGGACTATGTGATTGGATATAACTCTCGTGTGTATGTGTGTATAGTCATATGCTTAATGAATTTGAGTAATTTTTTATTTTTTTATTTATTATTATGTGCTATGCATTATTATAACTACAATATTATTTTAAGACTATGAAAAACGGTTAAGAGACACTACTTGGTTCAAACGAAAGTTGTATTTGGTGTCTGTAGTAATTTGGAAAGAATCTTTTATATAGAAAACAAAGGAGATATAAAGTAAAATTATATATATATATATATATGTTTATATATTTAAAGATAATTAGCATTAATCTTACGTATACTATTGATTGTGAATTGATAGTATTCATTTAATCATATACTTTGTAAGAGAAAATGAATGATTGTAATATATGTGTGTGTCATGTATATACAACTTCATATTCAATCCGCTTTATACAGTCATTGTGGTGACATAAACTTTTGAGAAGTGCAATATAGAAAGCATAAAACAAATAGGAGTAGTTGCCTTTTGTATTGAATCATTGAGTAAATTTAAGTACAGTAATTTCTTCTGAATGCTGCTGCTATTATTTGAAGTTTGATTTGATTTTGGGTTAGTCAATGTATTATATGTTTACTAATGTCTAAAATAATATGTTTAATTCGAAATTCTACAGTTCTACTTGCATGATGCTTTATACTTCTTGTATTGTATTAGCCTATCTAAAAAAAAAAAATTGAAAATTATCTTTATAAAATTTTGAACAGTGATAATTATTTAATTTATATCCTTGAAATGTGGGGGATGAATTGAGTTTGGATGATTTGTATTATTCATCTTGCTAAGAATATTTATGTGACATCAAATTGAAACTTTATTTTCAATTTATTTGTTCATTTCAATGCAAATTCAAAATTTTGAATTACTTGAGCAAGTGTGCAAATATATTTAATTTTTACTTTAAATGATGAAATTTTTTATATATGAGTTAACAAATATATTATTATTTGTAGTCCATGAAACAGGCTAATAATTGTTTTTGACAAGTCAGTGGTTATCAATACAAGTTGGAGATTGCATGCGCTACAAAGATGAATTATTAAAATAAAAAGACAAATGTCTTTTCCTTCTAGGAGCGTAGTCCTAGAATTCTCTTGAGAAAGAAAATAATAATGAGATTTTTGAGTCTTAATTTTCTAGGAGTGTAGTCCTAAAAGTGTCGAGGGGGATGGGCTTAAGCCCTAAAGGAGTCACCTTCAGAATTAACCCGTCCTTTGTGATTGGAGATCTCATAAATTAGGTTCAACGGGTAGAAACAATCCGTACTGCGTGACTTATTTATAGCACTATTTTTTTAGGAGGTTTCTCATGAAGATCCAC